CAAGCTGCTAACTCGAGAACCAGAAAAACTAGAAAGCTGAAACTTTAAGGGGATGTTCCCCGTTCAAGTAAGAACTAGTCTGTTCAAATCCATCCCCCGTGTATGCGTGGTTCCCACATATGGGTCCAAAAAAATTTTTTGCAGGTAAGTTACTAACTCGGGAGTCTGAAAAGGTGGAAGGCTGAAATTTTAAGGGAGTATTTCCTGACGGTCCTTGCGGCAAGTCTTAACTCTTTTAGCTAGCAGCATCTGCCGGAAAAACCGGTGCGGTTAGTGACAAAAACCTGCAGGGAACTGTGCAAAAAACGCATCTTCGCACCGGCAGTCTGTGCACTGGCCATATATCTGATGACTGCCCTGCGCACTGCCTGCTAAACCAATCCAGTGAAACATTCATAGATACCTCGTTGCCACGATACACGTTCCATGATAAATATCTATTTAATTTGTTGCTTGTCGTACTATTCTTTAACAAATCCACCTTTTTTGAGTAGCCTGAGTAATCCAGTTGACCCACGAATTAGGATAAACATCATTGGTGGCAAACAAAATGGTCCTGTTATTCCGTGTTCTGTTTGCAGAACATACAATCCTTGATTGCCTTCTTGACTGCTGTCGTCTTTGTTAAATCCAGTATCGCGTTCACAACTGTCCAAGGGTATGAGATGTCTCATTGTAGCCAACTTCACTATAATTATTCCACATAATAAGCTTCGTCGCCCTCTTTTTTTTGGGTAGGAACCGAGGCTGGAGCGCACCAGGCCTGCCGGTGCCATCATGAGCTTTTGCACTGAACTCGCAGATCGCTAATAGCAGGAATGTTTCCTGCGTTGTGGCCTAACACTTGGACTGATATTGAAATTTTCTCAGGAGATGTCCCCATCCCATATACGACTTAAAGTTATCAAATTCAGCCGCCAGGCGTGCGTGGTTCTCGTGTACGGGCACTTAAATTTTTGGCAGAAGAATTACTCATTGAACGACTGGGTCATTTTCAAATAAAAACGACCGCCAAACGGAAATTGTTTATTTCTTTTTATGCAAAATTTACGATGATTTACGGTATTGAGAGCACAAGATAGGTGTGAAGAAACAACCACTCACGCAGTTAACCTAATTACTTCAAGTCTGGTGCAAAAACGCATGATCGCACCGGCTGGTCTGGTGCGTTCCAGCCTGGGTTGAAATTTAGATATAGGCAAAAATGCATAATGATTTTTGCTTCACACTTAACTTGTGCACTCATTATTGTAAATTTTGCATAAAGGAGAACTAATTATTTTCGACGACTGGTTATTCATTAAAAATGATCTCCCAAGTTAGCAATTTTCCGGCCAAAACTTTCAGATGCCCATATATGAGAACCAAGCATATCTAAGTACTAAATCTGAAATCTTCACGTTGTACGTGGATGCGCAGCATTCTCTTAAAATTTCAGCTTTCCAGGCTTTCTAGTTTCCGAGTTAGCAGTCTTATAGTTGAGGATTTCAATTATCCGTACGTGAGATTCCGATGTGCGTAAAAATTGGTACCCCTTTCCTGGGATCACACATGACCAAAGAACCCATTGGCAAAATTTCAGGATCAAAATTTAGTAACTGAGCCACACACACACACACACACCATGGTCGTTGCAGTATTCGTTTTCGCATTTGTATAAATGCGCAGAAACACATAAAACTCATTGGCGACGCACGGCACGCGAGCCCGTGCAATTATGCGTTTCTTCAGCATTTCGTGCTATATAGTAAAATCACTTGGAATCTCTCAGTCTTTGGAATTTGTGGCATGCTGGTCATCGAAGTTCGGGGAGTTAATTGTGCAACTGCGTGGTACTTGGGCAGGGAACAATCTGTTAGAATTTTAGCTTTCCAACTTTTCTGGTTCCGCGTTAGCAATTACCCCGCCAAAAAATTCACGGACCTGTACACGAGAGCCTCGCAGACCTGGAAGCTGAATTTGAAATCTTTAAGTTTTGCGTGGGCTAGAAACATCAACC